ACCATAAAATTCCATAAATTCTAATTAACATATAAATCAAGTCAATTTCTAAGTCGGAGGCCGATAAGGCCTTCAATTCGCAAATCAAAACGAAGACATGAACAGATCTTTTTACATTAAACAGATATAAACACAAAATGATGCAATGCACATATAATTGACTCAGGATTTCTCCTTAATTACTTATCTGGCATACTTAAACATGAATTAGTGTTAATCATAGGTCGGGGTTGTTACAACACAAAAATAAAATAAAATAAATTACAATAAACATAACAACAATTTTTAATAAAGTTGTGCCTTGTAGTTGTTGAGTCAACCCCTGCGATAAGTAAAATATCGATGTGGCAGAGGAACGAAGTTTCCTTGCCTTGGGTAAGAAGAATAATGAAAACCCAGTAGCCAATTAAACCCAATCCTCTTTTTTGGGACCAAGCTGGATGGATGCAATCATTGCATTCCTAAAAGAGGGAAAGCTGCCAGAAGACCATAAGGAAGCACATAAAATCAGGCTGAAGTCGGCTAGATTCAGTCTAACAGCAGAAGGCCATCTCTACAGGAGGTCCTTCACTGGTCCGCTCTTAAGGTGCGTACACCCTTTGCAGGTTGAAGATTTTTTTTACGAAATTCATGAAGGAATTTATGGAAGCCATGTTGGGGGCAGATCATTAGCCCACAGGGCCATTACCCAGGGGTATTGGTGGCCCTACATGCAAAAGGATGCCGAAGCCTATGTGAAGAAGTGTGAACAATGCCAAAGGTTTGCACCTTTGATACATCAGCCAGCTGCTGACCTGAACCCAGTATCCAGCCCTTGGCCGTTTGCCCAATGGGGCATGGATCTGGTTGGACAACTTCCCTAGGCAACTAGGCAGAGAAAATACTTGCTGGTAGCAACAGACTACTTTACAAAATGGATAGAGGCAGAACCTCTTGCCAAAATCTGAGATGTGGACGTCAAGAATTTTATATGGAGAAACATTATCACCAGATTTGGGATTCCAAGAGCAATAATTGCCGACAACGGAACACAGTTTGACAGTAAACTCATCAAGAACTTTTGTGCAAAATTCAAAATCAAGAATTATTTCTCAACACCAAGTTTTCCTCAAAGCAATGGGCAAGCAGAGGCATCCAACAAAGTAATTCTAGATGGAATAAAGAAGAGGCTGCAGGCAGCAAAAGGAAAGTGGGTAGACGAGTTGCCCAACGTACTTTGGGCATATCGGACTACGCCGAGAAGATCAACAGGAGAATTCCCCTTTGCCATGGCTTATGGCACAGAAGCAGTCATCCCATTGGAGATTGGCATCCCGGGGATCAGAACCCAGGGAGTAGAGAATGGCACCAATGACGTACTCTTAGCCCGAGATCTGGATTTGTTGGAAGAACGAAGAGAGAAAGCTGTAATTCAACTTGCAGTATACCAGCAACAGCTTGCCAGAGCTTACAACAAGAAGGTCAATCCAAGAGATTTTCAAGTCGGCGACCTAGTCCTGAGAAAAGTCGTCGGGAACAAGAAGGATCCCAGGGAAGGTAAGCTTGGCCCAAACTGGGAAGGACCCTACAGAATTACATCAGTATTAGGCAATGGAGCTTATCGGCTTGAGGACAATGAGGGCAAAGCATTGCCCAGACCTTGGAATACTTGTAATTTGAAATTTTTCTATCATTAGATGTACATCATTGTTTGGCCGATATCATCAATAAAGTCTTTCCAGAATTCTTGCAACACATATGATTGAGAAAGTTATGCATTGATGTTTATTGAAGACATAATTAATACCCAAGTCAAATTCAGGTTCACATTGGGGACAAAGAAAAGGCAGAGATTATTCCTTAACACTTGTTGAAATTTGT